AGCCTCCTCTGTTCTACCTGCCGAGGCTCCAAAGCATCGTCCAGCCCCAGTCCCCGGATGTGGGAGTGGGCACCTATATGAAGGGAAAGAACAAAGGCTCAGTTACTAGCCAGCTTGCTGCACGTGTGGCCTGACCCCTCTGAGCCCTGGTTTCCTTCTTTGTCAAAGGGGTGGGTGGGAGTAGGGAGTAAGGGGTTGGGGGAATGAAGGGGCACAGGGGAAGGATATCCCAAATTGACACCTCCCTAGCAAGATGGCTGAAGGTGGTAAATGCTCAATGAACTGGAGCTGCTCTGAGGATGCATCCTAGTTAAACGAAAGTCACTGAGACCTGATTAAGCACATAATCATACCAAGAACTAACCATAAGGGCTAATGATCACAATTAGTTCGTGTTTATGGCTTACACAGCACCCACATGTTCTCTGTTTATTCCATATAACCCTGCAAAAAAAGAGCCCTGGCCGGGGCTTGGGGCGGTGGCTCACGCCTGTAATCCCAGCACTTTGGGAGGCCAAGGCAGGCAGATCACTGGAGGTCAGGAGTTCAAGACCAGCCTGGCCAACATGGTGAAACTCCGTCTCTCTTAAAAATACAAAAATTAGCCAGGCGTGGTGGCAGATGACTATAATCCCAGCTTCCCAGAAGGGTGAGGCAGGGGAATTGCTTGAACCTGGGAGGCGGAGGTTGCAGTGAGCCAAGATTGTGGCACTGCGCTCCAGCCTGGGCGACAGAGCAAGACCTGTCTCAATAAAACAAAATAAAATGAAACAAGAGTCCTGGCTGCTATCACCCTGAAAGCACTTCTGGGTATCAAAATGGCAAAAGTCCCAGGACCTACTGATATGAATGGGGAGGGAGCTCAGAGAGGTTAGGTCCCAAGCCCCAGCCACACAGCCAGCGAGAGGGGAAGATGGGATTCCAATGCTTTACATTAGATGAGGGTTAAGCAAACCTCAGCCTGCAGGTCAGCCACCTGTTTTTGCAAATAAAATTTTACTGGAGCTGGGCGTGGTGGCTCATGCCTATCATTCCAGCACTTTGGGAGGCAGAGGCAAGCAGATCACCTGAGGTCAGGAGTTTGAGACTAGCCTGGTCAACATGGTGAAACCCCATCTCTACTAGAAAATGCAAAAATTAGCCTGGCATGGTGGCATGCACCTGTAGTCTCAGATACTTGGGAGGCTGAGGCACTAGAGTCGCTTAAACCTGGGAGGTGGAGGTTGTAGTGAGCTGAGATCGCCCCACTGCACTCTAGCCCGGGCAACACAGTGAGACTCCATCTCAAAAACAAAACAAAACAAAAAAAACCCAACCAAAAAATCTTTGTATTGGAACACTGCCATGCCATTTCATTTATATACTGTCTGGGGCTGCCTTTGCACTGCAAGAGGAGAGTTGAGTAGTTTCAACGAGGAAAGATTTACCATCTGACACTTTAAGAAAGATTTGCTGACACCAGTGCTTGACTATGAGCACTCCAAGGGTGGCTCCTGGGTGCAGCTAGTCTCTACTGGGTCCTCAGCTCCCAGGCAGTGCTTGGCTGTTCTTTTCTTTTTTTTTAATTTTTAAAATTTTTTATTGTTTTTTTCTGAGAGAGGGTCTCACTTTGTCACCCAGGCTGCAGTGCGGTGGTGCAGTCACATCTCACCACAGCCTGAACCTCCTTGGTTCAAGCAGTTCTCACAAGTAGCTGGGACTCAGGCATGTACCACCACCGTCAGCTAATTATTTTATTTTATTTTTATTTTTAGAGACAGGGTCATGTGACTATGTGACTCAGGCTGGTCTTAAACTCCTGATTCAAGCAGTCCTCCTGCCTCTGCCTCTCAAAGTGTTGGGATTACAGGTATGACCCATCGTGCCCGGCCATACTTGGCACTTTTTGTTTGTTTTTGAGATGGAGTCTCACTTTGTCACCTAAGCTGGAGTGCAGTGGCACGGTATTGGCTCACCGCAACCTCTGCCTCCCAGGTTCAAGCCATCCTCCCTAGTAGCTGGGATTACAGGCATGCACTACCATGCCTGGCTAAGTTTTGTATTTTTAGTAGAGACAGGGTTTCACCATGTTGGCCAGGCTGGTCTCAAACTCCTGACTTCAGGTGATTCACCTGCCTTGGCCTCCCAAAGTGCTGGGATTACAGGTATGAGACACCGCACCCAGCCTCAGCACTTTTATTTATTTATTTATTTATTTATTTATTTATTTAGAGACAGAGTTTCACTCTTGTCACCCAGGCTGGAATGCAATGGCATGATCTTGGCTCACTGCAACCTCCGCCTCCCAGTTCAAGGGATTCTCCTGCCTCAGCCTCTGAGCAGCTGGGATTACAGGTGCACGCCACCACGCCCAGCAAATGTTCATATTTTTAATAGACATGAGGTTTCACCATGTTGGCTAGGCTGGTCTCAAACTCCTGACCTCAGGTGATCCACTGGTCTCGGCCTCCCAAAGTGCTGGAATTACAGGCGTGAGCCGCTGTGCTCAGCACCCTGGTACTTTTAATAGATGAAACAGTGTTGGCACACAGCCCCGAAGTGTTTTCTATCAACTACTTTATTGAATCTTACATTAACTGATGAGGTGAACTATCTTGCAGATTAGGAAACTGAGGCACAGAGAGGAACTAGTTCCTGGCCACATGGTGGAAAAGTGGCAGAGCTAAGCTTCAGGAATCCAGCACTGGGCTTCTAAAACCCATGTTCACAGCCAGGAGCCCTTACTGCCTTTCTCGGAGGCCCTGGATGAGTGAGTGTGCTGCATGAATGAATGCGGTTTCTCCCCTGCCGGTAAAGCTCTTTGTGAGAGCGCACCCTGCTGGCCTCACTGCGCCTCAACTTCCTGCTCTGTGAGCCGGGGCCAGTGATTCCGCAGTTCTGAAAATTCAGCTAACAGTTGTAATATGCACCTCATGGGGTTACTGCAAAGGTTCCACAGGACGCAAACTCATGCATTCAATGGTTATCTCTTGATCATCTGCTCTGTCAGGTCCTGTGCTAGGGACACAGCTAGGAACGAGACAGACCCGGTTCCTGCCCTCAGGGAACTCACCCCACAGTGTGTACTGGGTATACGAGGCCAAACCCAGTAAAGCACCCAGTAAATATCTATGACCTCCAGGCAAATACACCCGGGAACCCCACCAGGATAGCCAAGCTAGCAGCCTGGTCCCCACTGCATCATCTGACCCACCTCTGGAACTGAGGCTCCTCCTCCCCCAGTAGACAGAGGGAGTGGGGGAACAGTAGTCGGGGGCAGTTGGTGTGCAGGCCACCTCCCTCTCCATCTTAGGGGTCCTCAGTAGGTTTGCTCAATCAGGGCATATGGCAGGCAGGGCTTAGCTCCTATTCCTGACCCAACTCACTCACCGATTCGCTCAATCCTTGTCACATCACGGATCTCCGGGACTTTGGTTGTGGCTGTCTGGGGGTGCAAGAAGATATGTCAGAGGACAAGTGTGGTCCCAGCTTTCACCAACCGCTCCTCTGTCCCTCCCATGAGATGGTCCTTTCCACTCCTTCCCCTCACAGGTAGGCGATGGGTCACGTGCCAGTCACCCCCACCCCTCTTGCCTGTTGCAGCCTAATGGCTGCTTGGTGGAGCCCCAGGAAGACAAGGACTGTCTGTCTCATCCACAGCTCGGTCCTCAGGGTCCAGCACATATTTGGTTATTTGGTGAAAGAATTAAGTCCTCCCTGTTTCTTTCTTTCTTTCTTTCTTTCTTTTTTGAGACAAAGTCTCACTCTGTAACCAGGCTGGAGTGCAATGGCCCAACCTCGGCTCACTGCAACCTCCATCTCCTGCGTTCAAGCAGTTCTCTGCCTCAGCCTCCTGAGTAGCTGGGATTACAGGTGCGTGTCAACACACCTGGCTAATTTTTGTATTTTTAGTAGAGATGGGTTTTTGCCATGTTGGCCAGGCTGGTCTTAAACTCCTGGCCTAAAGTGATATGCCAGCCTTGGCTTCCCAGTGGGCTGGGATTACGGGCATGAGCCACTATGCCTGTCCAAGTCCTCCCTGTTTCTTTATTTTATTTTATTTTTTGAGATGGAGTCTGCTCTGTCACCCAGGTTGGAGTGCAGTGGCCCGATCTCAGCTCACTGCAACCTCTGCCTCCTGGGTTTAAGCGATTCTCCTGCCTCAGCCTCCTGAGTAGCTGGGACTACCAGTGCACACCACCACACCTGGCTAATTTTTCTTGTATTTTTAATAGAGATGGGGTTTCGCCATGTTGGCCAGGCTGGTCTCGAACTCCTGACCTCAAGTGATCTGCCCGCCACGTCCTCCCAAAGTGCTGGGATTACAGGAGTGAACCACCGTGCCCTGACAAGTCCTCTCCATTTCTAATAACTGTGAGCTCCATAAGGACAGACACCAATGAGGAGCAGGCATGAAGCTGGACATGGTCTGGCCCCTGCTAATTTCCCAGCATCCCTTGTACCAGGCGGCCCCAGTTCTCAACCACCAGGCCTCGCACATGCTGGCCCGAGTCCAGACTGCTCTCCCTGCTCTCTCACTGAATTAGATCAAGTGCTGCCCCCTAGGGGAGGCCCTTTCTGACCACCACCCCTGCCACGCTAGTTCTAGGACCTCTAGACATTCAGACAGTTCAAAGTCCTGCCCCGGAGCCTAATCTCCCGGTGTGATCTCACATTCCTAAGGGAGATGGATGGATCAACATTCTCAGCTCCAGTGGACATGAGTCCCATGAAGGGCACAGCCTGTGTCTCTCTTGTTCACCTCGGGACTCAATGTCTGTGGTTTGCATAAGTGATACTCTACAGTGTTGAGCTCATTCAACAAGAATATACTGAGGCCTCCCATGTTGACAGTTCTCCAAAGAGAGAAGCCAGCTACCACGCCTTCTCACATGGGGGAGGGAGGTGAGTAAACACCACCTGGGACAATTCAGGAGCCCCTCTGGAGGTCCACACAAAACATGGACACAAGTATTCACAGCAGCACTATTCACAACAGCCAACAGGTAGAAACAACCCACATGTCCATCAGCTGATGAATGGCGAACTAAAACGTGGTCTATTTGTGCAACGGAATATTATTCAGTCATAAAAAGGAATGGAGTTCTTTTTTTTTTTTTTTTGAGACAGAGTCTCACTCTATCACCCAGGCTGGAGTGCAATGGCACAATCTTGGCTCACTACCACCTCCGCTTCCTAGGTTCAAGCGATTCTCCTGCCTCAGCCTCCCGAGCAGCTGGGATTACAGGCGCCTGACACCACACCTGGCTAATTTGTTTTTTTGTATTTTTTAGTAGAGATGGGGTTTTACCATGTTGGCCAGGCTGGTCTTGATCTCCTGACTTCAGGTGATCCACCAGCCTTGGCGCCCCAACATGTTAGGATTACATGTGTGAGCCACCACTCCTGGCCAGGAATGGAGTTCTAATACATGCTACAACGTGGATGAACTTTGAAAACGTTATGCTAACTGAAAGATGCCACACACGAAAGACACATATTGTATGTGGCTATATGAAGTAGCCACAATAGGCAAATCCATATACACAGAAAGACTAGTGGCTGCCTAGAACTGAAGACGGGAGGTATGGGAGGATTAGCAGTGACAGGTAAGTAGCATGGCATTTCTTTTTGGGGTGATGACAATGTTCTAAAATTGACTGTGGAAATGGCTGCACAACTGTGAATATGCTAGAAAACACTGAGCTGTATACTTTAAATGGGTGAATTATGTAGTATGTGAATTCTATCTCCATAAAGCTATTAAGAAAAAAAACAACAGGCTGGGCGTAGTGGCTCCCACCTGTAATACCAGCACTTTGGAAGGCTGAGGCAGGCAAATCACTTAAGGTCAGGGGTTCAAGACCAGCCTGGCCAACATGGTGAAACCCTGTCTCTACTAAAAATACAAAAATTAGGCCAGGCACGGTGGCTCACACCTGTAATCCCAGCACTTTGGGAGGTCAAAGCAGGTGGATCACTTGAGGTCAGGAGTTTGAGACCAGTCTGGGCAATATGAAACCCAGTCTACATTAAAAATACAAAAAATTAGCCAGGCGTGGTGGCGGGTGCCTGTAATCCCAGCTACTTGGGAGGCTGAGGCAGCAGAATTGCTTGAACCCAGGAGGAGAAGGTTGTGGTGAGCACAGATCGCACCACTACACTCCAGACTGGGTGACAGAGCAAGACCCTATCACTAACACACGCACACACACACA